GCGGCCCGCATGTGCAGCATCTCGGCGACGAGAGCCCGCGCCGCGTCAGCGGGTCGTGGAACGAGGATGACTGGGCACGTGACAGGATGCATAAGGGTTGAGAGGGCGAAGGGGGAGAAGTGGAGGTGGGAGGGGAGGAGGGGGAGGGGGGGGGGAGAGGGAGGGGGGAGGGAGAGGAGGAGGAGGAGAAAGTGGATGTGGAGGTGGGATGGGGAGGAGAAGTGGAGGTGGGAGGTGGATGAGGGGGAGTGAGATGAGGAGGAGGGCCAGGATGAGGCGGGGGTGGCGGAGGAGGAGGAGGAGGGGGAGGAGGAGGAGGAGGGGGAGGGGGAGGGGGAGGAGCAAGGGGAGCTGGGGGAGGTAGATGGGGGGGGGCCGAAGGAGGAAGGGCCACAGGCAATGCATGGCACGGTAGGCAAGGCAAGGCGAGGCATGAGGAAACGATGTGAAACAGGGCAACGCAAACAATGCAGAAGCGAGGCATGACAAGGTAGGCAAGGCACGGCAACGCAAGCGATTGCAAGGCAAGACAAGGCATGCGATGCAGGCATATGCCACGCGGTGCAGCGCGGGCGTAGGCGACGCGAGGTAGGCAAGGTGGGCGACGCAGGCGCATGCCACGCAGGGCGCAGGCTCCACCCTTCGGAACGAGGGGGGCGCCCACATTCGCTGGGCGAGCCCGCGCGCAAGGCTGGATTGGCGCCAATTGGGCAGCCCGTTGTCTCGTTTTGTTTGAGCGGCGCCATAGCCGCTCCGAAGTTTCCGCCCGCTGCCCCCGGCGCCGAAAACGAGAGGCAGGGGGCGAATCGAGTAGAGGGGGGCGTGATTCTTTGAGGGAAGACGGGGGCTCAAGGAGAAGGATGGGAGAAGGAAGAGAAGGGGGTGAGAGCGAGGACGAGGTGGATGATGAGGATAGAAGAGGAACCTGGGAGGGCACATCCCCCCCCTCCGAGCATAGGCCCCCCCCTGCCATCCCCTCCCCATCGTCCTCTTCCTGCCCATCTGGCGCCCCTCCTCGATCATCATCGTCCTCCTCATCCTTCTCATCCGCCTCCTCTCCTCCTATGTGCCATCCTCCTCTCTCCTTATCCTGCCCCCGCTCCTCCTCCACCTCCGTCTCCCCTCCTCATCGTTCTCTACCTCTTTGCCTTGCAGCAGCAGTCGCCATCGCCGGTGTCGCGGCTACAAGCGCGCCTGGGGGGCCGCCACCAGCGCTGGCTTCAGCGCGGCGGTCGCGGAGAACACCGCGGCTCGCGCCTGCGGACGCTGGAGGGCCAACCCCAAGATCACCCGCCCCTCCTCCTCATCCACTTTCTCCACCTCCTCATCTTCTTTATTCCTCGTCCCCTTCCCACCTTCCCCCTCGACGCGCCCCCCCCCCCCCCCCCCCCCCCCCCCCCAATGTCTCCGACGCCTCGCCCATCCTTCTCCTCGCCCCCCCCCCCCCCCCCCCCGCCCCTTTAGCCGGGGAAGGTCGGTTGTCGGGCCAAGGGCGCCATGAGAAAGTTCGGGTGTCATTTGAATGGCGTTTCACCGCTTCAGGCCCCCATGGTCGTCTCGCAGCGGAGCCTGAAACAGTTGTGACAATGCTACAATGTTTTAGCTCCTCACAGGCCCATGGCCAGCCATTGCCATGGGCCTGTGAGGAGCCGACACGGCAACAGACATGGCCACGGCAGTCTAGGGCAGACATGGCAACGGCAGTCCAGGGCACCATCCCCCCTCGCCCATTCACCCCCCTCCCTCTGCTGATGCGAAGGGGGAGGGGCATCGGGGGGTCTGCAGAGCGCAGTCCGGAACCCCGCCGCCCCCTCCCCCCCCCCCCCCCCCCCCCGAGGCACCGCGATGGCGACGGCCCCAGCATCTTCATCACGGACAACGACGACGACACCTACGACGCCGAGGCCGAGCCTCCGCGCCCTCTCACACCTTGGCTATAACGTTCCATCCACCCGCTTTTGCCGATCTTGCCTTTAAGCTCCTGCCGTATGTGCCATGTCTCTGATCTGCCCTCCACCATGCCTCCTGCTCTCCTCCTCCTCCTCCCCAGCCTTTTCTCCTCCTCCTCATCACCCCCCCCATCCTCCCGCTTGCTTTGCCCCCCCCTGCTTCCGCCCTCCTCCATGTGAGCCCAGCGCGCCCCCTCACGGCGGCTTGCTGGATGCTGGACGACTCGTCGTCCCAATGCGCGTGTTCGAATTCCAAGAGGTGCCATGTGACTTCATCGACCAGCTGGATCCGATGCCAGAAATGCAGCTTCGAAGCCGAGCTTGCGCAGAACAACCGTGCCTGCGACAGTGTCGACCAAGACTTGCCAGAGGGGCCCCGCCCAGCCCCTGGCCCGCCATGGGCATCGAAGGCTCGGAAGCAATCGGAGTCGAACTTCGGCCAGCCCGACACCGAACAAATCAGGACTGACAGCTCCGACAAGCCTGCGCAGCGTTGTACTGCACATCGTTGCTCTCGTCGGCGAGGAGGCTCAGCGATTTGCCGATGGTCTCGGGCGATGCTTTCCAACACGGCCGCTTGCCCATGCCCGTCGGATGGGCCCCTTCGCCCATTGAGACGCGGCGGAAGGGCAGTCAGTCGTCCTGGGTCGCGGAAGCGGTTCGCGCAAGACGCTGCAAAGCAGCGTCGCGCTCTGCCCGCCTCCGCTCCCCGCCGACGAGCTGACGGCCCCTTTTCCACAGCACTCGGATGACGCCGCTCCAGGGCCGCTTCGCGGCCGCGCGCCAGACGGCGCCCCGCGCAGCCGAAATATGGCAGCGCACAGGGACGAGGGGCAGCAGCAGCGGCAGCAGCACAGGGCCAAGGGACGAAGCGCACAGGGACGAGGGCCAAAGGACGAAATCCTGCAGCATAGTTAACAGCATGGGCTGTTAATTATGCTGCAGGATTTCTTGATAACACTCATGCAAATAGCTATTTTTAGGTCTCTAGTCAAAGAGCTAATTCTAACACTTTAACACTTTAACTCAAAGAGCTACGTTTTACACTTTAGCTGAAGAGCTAAACATAACACTTTAACTTCAACGGTTATCTTAAAATAGCATACACGTTATTTGAAATAACATACGATATATCAAGAGTTATGTGAAATAACACTCGAAGAGCCGTTTAGCTACGGAAGCTAGTTTTAACACAGCAGAGCTAAAAAATAACACTGCGGAAGGTCAGGTTTCAGGGGCCTCGCCAGGCCAGCCCCTTCCCCCTCCGCGCAAGCAGCCTTGCCAGACATTGTGATCCGACGACGCGAATCAGTTGCAACATGGCAAGAAAAAAACAACAACAACAAAAAACGCGACCGGAGCCCCAGACTCCAGACCCGATCTTTCTGCATCCTCTTATTTGTCGAGCCGGATCGATATGTGAAGGTCTTGGGGCCCGAGACCGGGTGTTAACGCCCGGCCCGAAAAGATGTAGACGCCAGGATTTCAGGGAAAGGTACCTGCCAGACCCTTCAGCAGAAAAGGGCCTCGAACCCACGGGGGCGGGGAGGTGGGCGCCGAGGACCGACGCCCTGGCGCCATGTGCCCCCCAGTCGGCGAACCGCGAGATTGACCCAACTCAATGGTGACCGTTGGTGCGCGACTGAGCAGGGGACACTGGGTGGCCAAACCCTGACCCCACTGGGCCCGCACCAAGCGTCACTCCAGCGAAAATTCACTCTTACACTCATCGGGAAGCTTGAGAAAAAGTATAAACTGTCATGGAGTCCAGTCTTCGTTTTCAGAAAATCAAGAATCTGAACAAGACCCTCGGCGTTTTCTTGGATGTTTGTTTCCTCGCAAAAAAGATCGTACACGTTCAGCCCCCCTCTCTGATCTGGACCTGGATTCTTGTGTAAGAAAACGCTTCGAGTGAAGTCCATCTTCTTAGCCTGCAGCTGTCTTGAATCTAAGCAGGGGTGTACGTCTAGTCGACCCAAGCCAGCCGCGGGCCGCCCGCAGCGACCCGCGGACGCGCGCAGGCGGGGCGCGGGGCGGGCGCCAGGCCGGGCTGGGCGCGGCCCCGCGGAGCCTCGGCGGGGCCTCACGGGCCTCACGGGCCTCATGGAGGCCCTCTTGGGTCAGCTTGAGGCCCTCCTGGGCGTGTCGAGGGGCTATCTTGGGGGCGATGTCGAAGGCCTCCTGGGCCGTCTTGGGGGGCCGCAGCCGCGAAAAGTTGAGAACGCACTCGAAGGGAAGCCAAGGATTTGTGCCCCCCATGCCCTTCCTGGGAGCTCTCTTGAGGCTCGTTTGAGGCGTTGTCTGGGAGCGCTCCTGGACTGTCTCGGACGATTTTGGGCTCTCTTGGAGGTCCTTTAGGGCGCTCTTGGAACGCGCTGGGAGGCATGGAAGGCCGCGCCCAGGAGAAAGCCATCTCTGACCAAAGGGTGGCCGGGCTGCGGCCGGGGTACTTTTCATCCGGGAACCGCCAGTGGCCGCCACGCGCGCGCTACTTAGATAGACAAGTCAGCTGTCTCCGGAGATTTTAGCACGCCTCTGGCCCCTGGCCTGCTGGGCCGGCGAATTGTGCCCGACGAGGGTTCGATGTGGATTCGACACAGATTTGACGTAGATTCGACGGGCTCGTCATGGATTCGACGCGGACTTGACGTGGATGAATTACGACGGGACAGACAAAGTCCCCCGAATGTATACAATACGTGATCCTTGGCCCCACCATCGATTCTGTATCCTCCTTCGGCCCCACCCCCCCCATCTGCATCCCCTGAGATCCTGGCTTCATTTCTAGCCGGGATTTTTCGCCTGGCTTCGATCCCTGGGGCCCTCGCAGATCGATGCGGCTCAGGAACTAGCGCGGAAAGATGGGGTCTAGGGCTCTGGCCGTGGTCTCCCACCGTGTTGCATTTTCTCGCGCCGTTGGATCTCAGGGCCCTCCCTCGATCAAGCTTCTCGATTCTCGAGGGTCCGGGGGCAAAGCTTTGGCACCACCGAGATGCACCCCCCAACGAAGACCCCGCCGCCGCAACCGCGGGGCGGCCCCGCGGCCCTAAGGACGCGATCCTCCGCCAGCTGGACGGCGAGGGCGCCGTCGCGGCGGGCGGCCAGGCCTCGGCGGGCCTCCAGCCTCCCAGGTGGGGTCCGAGTGGGCGGGGCCGGAGGATCGCCCCGCATCGCCGATGCCTTGGCGATGTGGCTCGCTTGGCTGCCTCGATACGCCCGTTTCGATACGCAACACGTGCCGTGCTCAAGACGTCCGTGTCAGCACGTTTTGCGTGTTGTCGGCCCACGTCTTGGCGAACGCATCGCGTCAGGCCGACGCTTTCAGTCTGCGTGTTGAGCTCCGTCTTAGTGCGCTACGTGTTGCGTGTTGCGTGTCAGGGCAGCTGATGTGTCTCGATGCGAAGCCAGATTTACTCCACGCCGTTGTCTCGGCGACGCATCGGCGACGTGGCGTAACCCTCCGAACCCATCCACCTCGGACCCCATCTAGGAGGAGGAGGAGGAGGAGGAGGAGGAGGAGGAGGAGGAGGAGGAGGAGGTGAGGGAGGGGAGGGAGGAGAGGGAGGGAGGAGGAGAGGGACGGAGGGAGGGATGGAGGGAGGGAGGAATGAGGGACGGAGGGATGAGGGAGGAGGAGGGAGGAGGAGAGGAGGAGGAGAGGAGGGAGGAGGAGGGAGGAGCGGGGGATAGCTGCGCATATAGACTGACCGAGGTAGAATATCGAGGTCGGATCGGGGCCGCGGAGGGGTGGGTGGGTAGGGGGGACTAAAATCCCATGCAAGTTATCTTGCTTAAGCCCAATGGAACATGCGCTCAAACCGCCCCTTGTCAGACCAATGCCGCGACAGGATCTCAGGGTCCCTGAGTAGGCTGCCCACCTCCTCGTGCGACTCCTCGTCGTGCGCTCCGTGAGGCCTCGAGTTGCTGCTTGGCCGTGCCCGACTTCTATACAGTCGGACCGAGGTATAAGATCGAGGTCGGATCGGGGAGGGTACCCTAGCGCTCTTCGTAGTTGTTGGATGGTCTCGTGCATCCTGGGGAGGGTACCCCTCGGATGTTCTCTTTGTCTTGGCCGACGGAGGGTCTCATGCTCTTGAGGGATTTCTGCAGCCGTTGGCTTACGGGGTTCTCCACGGGCCCAGGACTGTCAGAACACGACAAGTCGACTACATGTGAGAGTGACCCTTCGCCGGAGTGACAGTGACCTTTGGTGCGGGCTCATCGGGGCCCCACCGATCGTGGAGCGCGATGCGATAGCAGCCGATTGCGCGCTTGGATGTGGCCACCTTGCGCCCCCCTTAGTCCGCGCACCCAAGGTCACTCTTGCCTAGGGGCACTCTTGCGTGTAGTCGAACACGGGATGGAGCACCGGCCCTTGGGGGAGGCCCTGGGGTCCAGGACCCGCTTCCCTCAGGACTTGTTTCCTTCATGCAAGGCGTCACTTCGACACCCATGGAGGCTGAGCTCCAGTGCAATGTCGTGGCTGCCCTGGGTTGAGGATACCCAGATCTCCGGAGATATGATGTTTTCAATCCGAGCGTCCTTTCTCGATGTCGGCCCCCGCGGGGCCCAGTACGGGGCCCCAGAATCATCAACACACATGCGGAACGAAAACTTGCTGGGGCCGCGCATGGACACAACTCATGGTGACGGATGCATGGGTATGCTGTAGCATTCGTTCCATTTCTCTTTGGGGTTCGTTTCGCAGGGCACTGCCGTGCCAGAGCACGGGGGCACGGGCGGATGCATCCCCTTTGCTGCCAGCGCGGGGGGCACTCTGTGATGCGCCGTGTTGATGTGGGAGGAAAGTGCGCACACCCCAGGAAGGCTCCCAATCTCTCGCGCAGACTACTAGCGGAGCCCTTCCTGATACACGCTCAGTGTTGAATATTTTTGACCCCACACAGAAAGGAGGTGAATCATCCCCCCCTGTGGGGGACACCAAGCAGGCCTGATGACCGACTAGGTTTGCACATAACGCGAGCATCAAGATGCGGATGCAGAATGGAGGTCATGCGTGTGGAACAAGCATGCTACAGAAAATGGTGCAGTCGTTCCTGGACAGATTATGATGGGCTGGATGGTCACTCCCTCTGGAAGAGTGTTCCTGGTGCACCACGGCTTCTCATGGCATCCCGACGGCGTCAATCGTGAATGGCCGCGACGTCAGGCGGGCAGTACGGGGCGGAGGTTTCAAAGCCCGCGGGACCATCGTCAATCTCAACAGTTCGTTGGGGAAAGAGCTCGGCAACAGGATCTCTAAAGCGTGGTAGTGCTACTTCAAGTGCAGGGCTTTGCTCGGGGCCCGTCAATAGTAAGTTACAGCTGCTGGACATGACCGTCAAACTCGCGTTCCTGAAGGGGGTGGGCGTTTGGAGCCTGAGCGTGCGTCAGCTGAGGACACTGCTTGGGGTGCAATGTAAGATGGCGCGCCGTATACTTCGCACCCCAAAGCTTCAGCAGGAGACCGTGGCCCAGCACATGCGCCGTGATGAGGGCTTGGTTACACGTGCCATGCAGCAGCACAGCGTGGAATCGCGGGTGCAAGCGCGGGGACAGAAGCAGCAGGAGTGGGCCAGGAAACTGGTGCGCCAAGGGTTCCAAGAACCGGATCGCATACCATTGAACGTTTTGCCGTGGAGGAGTATCTCTTCGCTTCACCAGCTTGCTGGGGCCAATGGCCTGTGGCCGTGGGAAGTTGGGATTCACCATTTCTTATACATGCGTGGACTGCCGTGGATTTTTGTGGGTTATGGTGCAGCCGGCTGGGCGCAGCATGTGGGAAATTATTGCTTTTGGCGTGCCAGCCTCTTCGCTGGTCGTTCTATTGGGTCCACGCGACAGCAGGAAACCGATTAGCACGATATGTTGATTGTATACTTGTCCGAATAATGGAGTGCAGCGAGCTGGCCAACGGCATGCTGTAGAAAGGCCCCCTCCGTGGATCACCAGAGCCTGCCCCGCCGCACCCTCATTTTGTTTTTTGTCAACTGCAAGGTTTTCTTTTCATTTCGGCCCCTCGTGCTTTTATTTGGCCATGGGACAATCACACATGTTTGTATGTATGTATGTATACATATGTGTATATATATATAGGTATATCAGGTTTCATCAAGAAACAGGGAACTAGACTACAAGCCATCACAAAAGCGTGACATAATTTGAGTTTCTGGACATCGAGAACACCCTGTAGATTCAGAGTCATGGTTTTTTTTAACGGGCAGGTGGCACATGCAGGATTTAGTGGACCAGAAGCCTATGTACTGAACATGAGGTCGCCGCTCACCAGCAAGTGCCTCAACCCCCTGCAAAGCAAGATCATCAGATATGGACGTGTACTTCTGAAAGGCAAGTACGTGAGCAAGACTGACGGCAAGTACAAAACAATCAGCAACCCAGAGGTCCTTCGGAAGCTAAGCATTGGCACGCTCTTCCGTGAATTGTGCATGAGAAGGCCTAAAGTGGCTGCAGGCTCTTGTTCGGAGGCCTGTTGAGCATGCACAGGTGATCGGAGCGTTGATTGGACGCATGCAGTGTAAAAGAAAAACGTTGATATCCAGGAAGGTCGGGTGACTGGCGCGGCGACCCCGTGGTTGCAGCAGCTGTGGGAGGACGTGAAAGCTCTTGATTGCAGTGATGAGGGTGCCTCTTTTGTAGGATCCCTGGGGGGGGTCCTTCTGCAGGCTGCGCTTGATCCCCACGTGCTGAGGGCGCGAGAGATAATTCAAGATATCCCCTCCGCCAGGACTTGGGCTAGGGCCGCCTGGGGAAGAGGAGCCGTCTGCTTCAGAACATCCTGAGCAGGATATTGTTGTTTTGTTGTTTGTTGAAGAAAAACGTGTGTCGAGTATAACATATGCTGTAAGGCACGCCAAGCCATGATCATGCACTATGTGAGGTCCCATGCAGAAAACCATGGTGCCAGAAGTACCCCGTATGCTGTCACATTATTATATAATATGTAAAGGCATTCTGGCTGATCGCCAGGCAGCCCAACACCATGTGCTAAATGCTTTAACGAGGCACAGCTGTTACGTATATTGTAGTCTTCGGGCTCATGCGCGTATTGCACACAAGCAAGTTTCATGCTCACTGTGCCGCCATATTGCAGACAGTCCTGACTTTCTTGGCTCACGCTCGATTGCTTCTCAGTGACGACCATTTCTTCTCGATAGATGGTTCCCTGGTTGTCAACACCTGGAGGTGGACAAGGGACTGGTGGGCCAGCACCTGCAGGAGCAGGGCAGCAAGAGGCTCCACCACAGCAGAGGCGCAAGACAACGGACCAGAAGGATGTCGCTCACAAGCCCACCACGCAGCTGGAGGAGGAGAGAACAGGAGGCAGGGGACTCGCACTTCAAGTGCCCGTCGGGCCACCCTGTCATTATGCGGATGTCGAGCGCAGGGCAGCGCTACGACGAGGCAGTCAAGGCGGCGGGAGCGCAGCACACACACGGGTCGCCACACTTGCACGCCTTCATCGCGATGCTCGATGCCCTGCGCAAGACGGACACCACAGGAAAAGACAACGAGGTGCAGATGATCTTCGGAGCGGTCGTCAGGCACAAAGAGTTCGTAGACAATGGCAAGCCAGACGACCTGGAGGAGTGGGTGCACAGTTGCAGGGCCAGCGAGTACTTCTAGAAGGCCTACCGGCAGCCGCAGCATCGCATCGTCTTCAACGTATCAGGGCATTGGCCTCTCGCCAAGACATCCGAGGATGATCTGGGAGTGCAAAGCGAAAAGTAACATCCAAAAGAGCTGGACACGGCCCCCAACAAAGTGTGGCTGCAGGTCGACCGGCTGCTCACCCAGGCTCTGCGTCATGTGGGGGCCACGCGTCTGCCAGGCAAAGCCCCAGTGGGCGGACTGGCCTATCAGATGCGCAAGAAGTGATCATGATAATATTGTTTACTGCAGGTACTTCAGGAGACGTGTCTGCTATGTCGAGCACAGGTGAGACCAACAGCGTTGCGACACCAGCAGCTTCATCAACGAATCGATTGTAGGTTGGATTCAAAAATGACAAGGGATGCATCTCTCGAGCCCATCAGAGAGAGAGAGAGAGAGAAACAAAAAAAGAGTGAGCCCTCCCAGAGTTCAGCTGTGCCATTGAGTGAGATTCTTTTCGGACTAGGTTCGAAGCGTCGAAACTGATCTTTTGGGGCATGCGGGCACAGGAGGAGTGGGTAGACGAGCCTGAAGAAGCGAGTCGCCCCCGCGCCAGACGATTTCCGTCTGCCCACAGTCGGGCTAGGCACGGAAGTTGCCAGGCCTCGTGTTCCCTGCAGGAGAAGAAACCAGGTGCGAGCACGTTTTTTTTTTTTTTTTTTTTTTTTTTTTTTTTTTTTTTTTTTTTTTTTTTTTTTTTTTTTTTTTTTTTTTTTTTTTTTTTTTTTTAAAAAAAAAAAAAAAAAAAAAAAAAAAAAAAAAAAAAAAAAAACCTGGCTCTGCGGTACCAGTCTGATTCTGTGGTGTAGTTAACGAATCGGTACTGATGCAGCATGAATGAATTAATGAATATGTGTATCTCTATATATACATATATGTATGTATATATATATATATATATATATATGAAAAGGGCGCGTTATTTGGTCGTTTGGACCCAGACCCCAGGGGGGGGACACGGACCCCCCCCTCCTCCCTTCCCTTCTCCTTCCTCCCTCACTTCTCCTCTCTCCCTCTCCTCGGGCCAGCGCCTTCGTCGGCGGCGGCTGGCTGCGGCGGCGGGGACGACGACTTCCTTTTCTGGGCTGGCGCGGGCGCTTGCGGCGGCGGGCGGCGACGGCGGGCGGTGGTGGCAATAGCGTTGGTGGTGCGGTAGTTTGTCGTGGTGGTTGTGATGGTGGTAGTGGTTGTGTTTGCGGTGGTGGATTGTGGTGGTGGTGGTGGTGATGGCGGTGGCGGTGGTGGTTGTGGTGGTGGTGGTTTGTTGCGGTGGTGATGGTTGTGGTGGTGGTTGGTGGTGGTGGCGGTGGTGGTGGGGGTGGTGTGGTGGTTTGTGGTAGTGGTGGTGGTGGTGGTGGTGGTGGGCTGTGGTGGTGGCGGCGGTGGTGGTAGTTGTGGTGGTGGTGGTGTGGTGGTTTGTTGTGGTGGTGGTTACGGTGGTGGGTGGCGGTGGTGGTGGCGGTGGTGGTGGCGGTGGTGGTGGTGGCGTGGCGGTTGGTGGTGGTGGTGGTGGTTGTGGTGGGTTGTGCTTCTGGTAGTGGTTGCGGGCTTCTGGTAGTGGTTGCGGTTGTGGCGGTAGTAGTGGTGGTGGGTTCTTGTGGTGGTGGTGGTGGTGGTGAGATTGTGGTGGTGGTGGTGGTTGTGGTAGTGGTGGTGGTGGTAGTTGTGGTGGTGGTGGTGTGGTGGTTTGTTGTGGTGGTGGTTGCGGTGGTGGGTGGCGGTGGTGGTGGCGGTGGTGGTGGTGGCGTGGTGGTTGGTGGTGGTGGTGGTGTTGGTGGGTTGTGCTTTTGGAAGTGGTTGCGGTTGTGGCGGTAGTAGTGGTGGTGGGTTTTTGTGGTGATTGTGGTGGTGGTGAGTTTGTGGTGGTGGTAGTTGTGGTGGTGGTGGTGGTGGTTTGTTGTGGTGGTGGTTGCGATGGTGGGTGGCAGTGGTGGTGACGGTGGTGGTGGTGGCGTGGTGGTTGGTGGTGGTGGTGGTGGTGTTGGTGGGTCGTGCTTCTGGTAGTGGTTGCGGTTGTGGCGGTAGTAGTGGTGGTGGGTTTTTGTGGTGGTGGTGGTGGTGGTGAGTTTGTGGTGGTGGTGGTTGTGGTAGTGGTGGTGGTGGTGGTGGCTGTGGTGGTGGTGGTGGTCGAATGGTTGGTTGGTGGTGTTGGTGATGGGTTGAGGTGGTGGTGGTGGTAGTGGTGGTGGTGGTGGTAGTGGTGGTGATCGTCGCTGCGTCCCGCCGTCGGCGCTGCTGGCCGCCGCCCGCATCGGCGCCAGCGTAGGCGCGGGGGGGTGGGTGGTTTGACACCCCCCCCACCCCCTTGGGCTGCGTCTTGTCATCGTCGCTGCGTCCCCGCCGTGGGCGTTGCTGGCGGCCGCCAGCGCCGGCGCCAGGGGGGGGGGTCGGGAGGAGGGTGGGTTAGGGGGGAGGGGAGTTTCTGATCGACGGCGCCGAGCGTTGGGGGGGAGGCGCCCCCCCCGGTTCGAAACGTGCCGCCGAATGTTCCCAAGGCTAGCGCCCGTGAAACGCGATCTCTCATATGTCTGGATGCAAGTCTTCCCTCGCGGAAGAAATCGGGAACTTTGGGGCCGCAGATTGCAAGTCGTTTGGCGAACCATTCAACAATTCTGGCCAATCCGAGGCGACTTCTATGCAGGACCTCCTAACGCTCGATAGCTTTTTTAAGGTTATTGTGCACCCATGATTACAAAGCCAAACAACAGCAAAACACACTGAACGTGTGATGGGGTGTGCCCAACAAGGTTGGCCACCACGCGGACGCATCCACTGCGGCCGTAGATAGACTTCTAAAAGGGAGTCGAGAACAGCGTGAGGAGTGTGCCGACATGTTGCGGGGCACCAGGCGGGCCTTGCCACGGGGGGTTTTCGGAGGAACGCCCTATGGGGCCACGGATCGTGGGCGGACTGTTCCGAAATTGGGCGTGTCATTCGTTATGCGGCCTTCAGTGGAGTTCTCAATGGGGCCAACAAGCCCGTGATGATGCCGTAATGGAGCGGAGCACCAACTGGACACAACAATTGGGTCCTTGGGTGCAGCTCCCTATGGTGCCACGGAGCGCGACAGGGGTGCACCGCAATGGGCGGTCCGCCATGCGGACGCAGCCACTGGGGCTTTGGGGCGTGTGAGTGGTGTGTGTGCCGAAATGGGGCAGATCACAATGCGAACGCAGTCGTTGGGGTTTTGGGTGAAGGTCCACATGGGGCTAGGAAGCGTTGTGACGGGTTCGCCAAAATGGGGCGGATCACCATGTGGACGAAGCCCTTTTGTGACCTTCGGTGGGGCTCCCTATAGGGCCACGAAGCGTGTGAGCGGCGTGTGCCGAAACAAGGCGGCTCACAATGCGGACGCAGCCATTGGGGCATTCGGTGGGCATCCCCAACCGGCTACGAAGCTTGTGAAAGGGGTGTGCCGATATCGGGCGGGTCATTTTGCGGATGCAACACATGCGGCTTTCGTTGGAGCTTCCTGTTGTGCCACGAAACGTGCGAGGAAGGCGCCGCAATGGGGAGGGGCACCATGCGGACGCAGGCACGGGCTTTGGGTGGAGCTCCCTTTTGGCCACGAAACGTGTGAGGGGCGCGCCGACATGGGGCGGGCCACCATGCGGACGCAGCCGCCAAGGCATTAGCGCGTGAGGTGCGTTCCGATGTAGGGCGGGCCTTCATGCGGACGCAGCCGCTGGAGCATTCAGTGGAACTCCCTGTGGGGCAGCAGAAAGCGGTGATGATAATCCTGGCGTTTCTTGTAAGCGCCCTGGCGTTTTTTTGTTGAGGGGGTCTTGACAGTCTGTACGCAAGAAAACGCGACGGCCTTTTAGCGTTCCAAGTTGTTTCAAGCGTGTTTAGTCCCGTCACTGTGGGACATCATGTTTGTTCGGGTGTTTTGCTTTCTGGTCGAAGGCTGTTCCTTGTCTTCCCTGCTCTCTTCACCCCCATATTTCGTTTCAGCCGCCGCTCACCTTTGCAGAGCTAAGCTAATAACGCAAACGGACGCTCTGACACCGATTTAACACTGGCCCGAAACAGACCCGGAAGCCCGACGGCCCCAAGAGGGGCAGTCGGCCATCGGGTCCAGGGGCCCGACGCCCCAGGAGGGGCTCCGAAAACGGCGAACGGTCGGACTGAGAGAGTCAGGGGTTGAGGATTGCACGGCAGGTGAAGGAACCGAGAACGTCGTAGACGGCAATGTTAAACAATGCAACCAACTGCTCTGAAAACGCTAAACGACGTAGCTAAAACGCAACCCATATGGTTTTAAGCGTTTTCAGTTTTCTTCTTAGGGCTTACTATCGCTAAAACAATGATTTCCAACACGCCGAGTGCACACAGTAGAAAAAAACGCCCTGGGCACGTTTCAGAAGAGTGAGGATGGTAATGGTATTGGTGTCGCAAATAAGATTCTGATGCTGACGCCGACGGTGATGATGACCACGGAGTTAATGCTGATGACAAGGAAGAGGAGAAAGAGAAGAGGAGGGGGATGACATGAGGGGGATGACATGAGGATGAGGATGAGCAGGAGAGGGATGTGGGAAGGAGGAAAAGTTTGGGCGCTGCGAACTTAACACGAGGACTCAACACACAGGAGGCTTGGAAAACATCGGATGGGAGGATGGTTGAGCCTCTGGTCCTGGCCCTCGCCGCGGCCCAGCGCGTCCGCGCGCGTGCCCAGTGCGCGCTGCCTGGCACAGCCGGGCCCTGGGGAGCTCCCAGCACGCCGCAGGCCCCACCTGCAGGTTTCGGCGTCCAGGCCCTTGCCTCCGTGCGCTGAAGCACAGACATTTCCGTGCGGCGCCACCAGCCGTAGCTCCCGACGCCAGTTGAGCCACGGGCGATCCTCCTCCTCCTCCTCCTCCCCCTCCTCCTCCTCCTCCTCCTCCTCCTCCTCCTCCTCTTCTTCCTCTTCCTCCTCCTCCTGGGCGGCGAGGGGGGGAACATGGAAAAGTAGCAGTGTCAAGTCACACGTACCGTTGCTCTTCGGGGCTGCAGCGGGAAGCCAAGCCTGGGCCGTGCGGAGCGGAGGATATCTCAGGCTGGTGGTCTGCGTCACACGCAGGGGCGCGAAGAGAAAGCCGCGCTGCGGTCTCCGCGATCTGGGCCAGTGGGCTGCCCTTCTCTCCAGGGCTGCCGCGCGAGAGCGCGAAGCGAGCCACGCATCCCAGACATGCAGCGACTCCAAGCAATCGGGGCGGAGTTTTTGGTTTTCGGTGTCGGCCTCTCGGGGCCCTTCTTCACCGGGCCCAGGGATCGGCAAGCGACGGCCCAGGATGAAAGACCAGTGTCGGGGGCCCGTGTCTTGAAACAACGGAGACGCCGGATCTTTGGAATCGTGCAGCCCCAGACATGCGACGTCCTGATTTTTGCCGTACGGCGTCCCCGGATGTCCCGACCCTTTGCCCGGGGCCAGTTTTTCATCCCGAGTCGTTGTTTGACGTTCCCGGGGGCTGGCGAGGAACCGCAGGGGCCGAACATAGCGAAAGAATTGCCGTCCCGATTTGTACGACGCGATCATGGCTGGGTCTGGGATCGTGCAGCGCGAATCGCGAAGTGCTGTGACTTCGTGGGCCCGTTTCGGTCGTAGCTTTCCTGTGGGCCCCACAGCGTTGCAAGCTTCGAACCTCGGCGTCTACTGAACCGCGCCTGCAGTCAGCAGTGCGACAGCGCGGTGCAAGCATCAGCTGCTGGGCTCGGCAGTCCAAGAATTCGGCACCGTGTGTTTGATCATAGTTCAGCGGAGGGATTCGAGAAGAGTGAGGGGAGGGAAATTTGGAGTGAAACGAGGAGGGGGAGGCGAAGGGGGTAGCGTGAGGGGATAAGGGGAGGACAAGTGGAGAAGTCGTGGGAGGAGGGAGATTCTGCAGGTTGTAGGGCCTAGGTGGGAGTATTGTTCGCTTCTGGGATCTTCGCAGGACAACGCGGAGTGGGGAAGCGAAGATTCTCCCTGATCGGCCCTCCACGGTCATTGGCTCGAGCCGTTAGCTCAGGGAGTTCGGCGCAGCATCTCTTAAAGAAAAGCGCGGGCACAGCACCAGTGACGGGGATGGCTTCGTTATGGGCCGCTGCGCTTGCATTCATGATGTACGAAGGCTGGCAATGAAGCGGAGGAAGCCTGAGGGAAGGTGGTCCTGAGTTTTCCTCGATGTTCTGGGCCTTCATGGGCCCTCTCCTGGGGCCCCGGGGACCCGCTGCGGGGACCCTGGGGCTGTCAAGAAGCTGCCGGCGAGGAAACAGAAAGTGGTGCGGTGGGGAGCCTTGGGCTCCAGAGCCCGCTTCCCTAACTCCCCCCCCCTTCAGGGGCCTTTTTTCCTCGTGGCAGCGAGGCGCCAGCGCAGCTTCCATGGCAGCCGGCGCCAGCGCAGGCGCCGCGGCCATCGACCACGACGGGAGCGCCGCGGGGACCGTGGCGCTCATGCGGAGGCAGCCAGAGGACGAGCAGACGAAGCGGCGCCTGCTCGTCCGCGCCAGCGGCGAAGCGGTCGATGCCGGCTCCCTGTTGGAGAGGGGCGGCGCGTCGTCTGCGGCGCGCCGAGGCTCGGCGCGGGCCGGGGCCGTGGGCCTCGCCGACTTCGTCGCTGCACAGGTCGGCGGCGAAAGTCGAGCCCTGCCCTCGCCGATCAACGAGGCGGGTAACTCGGTGGGCGGCGGGCGCAGGGTTCGGAGTTCGCCGGGCACGTGGCGAAATCCGCATCCTACCCCCGCTTCGCGTCCTCTCAGGAGGGCCGATGGTTGGCGGGGGGTAGGGTTCGCACGTCGCCACCTACCAGGGGCACCAGGCCAAGGCCCTGAGGGCGTGGCAGAGCTTCAATTCGGGGAAGAAGCAATGACTGGCATGAGCATAAACTTTTGGAGATCCGCGCGGATTTATCGGACCTGCGCTGGAGCCCCCAGGTGGTGCCTCCAGGGGCGCCAGAGAGGAGGGTCCAGCGCCGATCCAAGAAATCGTCACCGGCCTCCGAAACTCCGTGTTAATGTCATTGTTTGTTCCTCGGTCCATCATGCGCAGCAGCAGCAGAGTGCCTGCGCGCTCCCCGCCGCCGGGTTCGAGTGTGAGCACGGCCACGAGTGCACCTTCAGAGATGGTAACTTTGACGTTTTCAAGGTTCTGAATCATGGGGCCCTGACGGAGACAATCTTCGCCAATGGCGTGTCGGCCTACCTCTTCGCGGAGGCGTTACCACTCACACCCCCGTATTATCTCGTCAAGCTCCACTGCAATGGTGAGATCCTTCTCAAAGCCGCCGCAGCTGAGGATGGGGACCGTGTGGACAAAGCAAGCTGCTCCTCTTCACAAGTGGTGCAGAACGTGACAGTGGGTGGTGTTGCAATGAACGCGTCAGTCGAGAGGTTGAACAGGAGGGAGTACCTTTGCATCGACGTCAATGTTTCTACTGCTTCGAATGCCACGGGCTGGAATGGGGCATGCTTGCTGAGCAAGTCCCCAATAAGCACCGATTCGCCATTGATCAACGCGGCAGCGAAGACCGTGGAGGTCACCAGGACAGAACTGTTCGAAATCGTGAAGGGCAAGTTCACGGCCTTACAGGGCAAGCTGAACACGTCGTCTTGTCCAGGGGGTGCTCCCGTGTTCTCGGTTTCGCAAGTTGACCGCGCGTTGGTGAGGAAGACACGCGCATCAGGAGGTGCGTCCATCTTGATAAGTGGTGGGGTTCTCACGGCCTTCGCGTTCGTCCTCGCCAGCGTATCCGGAGGCATCTTTGCACCAGTCTCCGAAATCGTCTTTGCTTGGGGCGCTGGCTGTACGATCACAGGTGCGACCACGGTGTCGAACGGCGCTGGAGCGCCCGCTGCATCGGCAGTTTTGGCAAGTATGGTTCCTGGTCTGAACGGCGTGACGGGTACTCAGATCAACGGCCTCACCATTGGCATACAGTCATTCAAACCAGTCGCCATGCTGCAAGAGGAGGCGAGTGGCCCCCCAGACCGTCGGGGCCAGGACGGGGACAAGTTCTTGAAGTCGAACTTCACACACGCATTCTGCGCTGACTACAAGGATGGTGTCATGAATGCATACATGAGGCCGTGCGCTGGAACGCAGCAGTGGTTCTTTGCCGAAAACGCTTGGCTGGAGTACAACAACGATCCGGAGCACGAGCTCATCGGCCGCGACACCACCCCGCTCAAGCCCATGCAGATGTACAGGCAGACGCTCCCTTGGGCCAAGGAGCAGTGCGCGAACAGCGCCCAGTGTCAGTCCTTCTGCTGGAACCCAGACGACCTGACCATCTTTCATCTGCCGGGCTGCGCCCTGCCCTTTGGCTTGAAAAAAAAAGAAAATTTATCCCAGCACGGCCCTACCTAGGAGTTGGAACATCTAGGAAAGCAACATCTACATCTACACCGACAGCTTCATTAACATCTACACCTGCATCTACATCTACATCAACATCAACAGCGAGACTCATATCTACATCTATGCTATGCTGCGCTGTGCTATGCTATGCTGCGCTATGCTATGCTATGATATGCTATGCTATGCTGCGCTACGCTATGCTGCGCTATGCTATGATATGCTATGATATGCTATGATATGCTATGCTAATGCTAATGCTAATGCTAATGCTAATGTTGATGCTAATGCTGCGCAAAACTAAGCTAAGCTCAGCCAAGCTAGGCTAGGCTAAGCTAAGCTAAGCTAAGCTAAGCTAGGCTAGGCTAGGCTAAGCTAAGCTAAGCTAAGTTAAGCTAGGCTAAGCTAAGATGAGATAAGCAAAGCTAAGCTAAGGGGACGTAGCTGGGGGAACGGCGGGGCGGAAACCAGGGGAACCGCCCGGGGCGTTTTACATTGCCCGGCCCTTTAAGCATAGAGAGTAAGAGCCCTTCTAGGCAGAGCCTAGGTAGGAAACAGGTGTCAAAACGAAAAACACGAGTTTGAACTAGCAAGACACATGAAACAACGGGGTCAGACATACCTCTAAAAAGGGTTTAAACGCAGAAGGGGTCAAAACGGAAAAGGGCCAAACGACCAAAAGGGGGTCAAAACGACCAAATATGTCAAATGTGTCAAGACGAGAAAACTCTGCCGGGCTGCGCCCTCCGCCGCGGCCCTCTCGGAGGGGCTTGGCCAGCCTCCTGGCCATCTGCCCAGGCAGAGGCGTGGGGCCTGGGCTCTCGTCAGAGAGGCGGTCTCGGGGCCCGCCCTGGGCCACCCTGGGCAACACGCAGGCAGTCTTGGGGCCTCCTGCAAACATGTCTTAGGGCTCTTTCTAGGGGCCCTTTTTTCTGGGGGCCTCATGCAAAGGCATCTCAGGGTCCTGTCTAGGGGCCTCCTGCAGAAGTATCTCTGGGGCCCTTTCTAGGGGCCTCCAGCAGTTCAGTGGGAATGACCGTTTGAGTGCATGCGCGTGTGGTGTGGATGTGCGGGGTGATGCTAACGATTATGACGATGGTGGTGCTGACGTAGATTAGGATGCATGCTGTTGGTTAATCTGGACATGGTGGTGACAGGTGGCAGTCATGTTGATTGTGTTTGTATGCTAATGACCATGATGGTGATGATGATGCTGAAAATGGTGTGACTGATGGTTGCGATGGGCATCGCGGTGATGATGATGCTTATGCTGATGCTGATGTTGATGCTGATGATGATGATGATACTGCTGATGATGATGATGATGATGATGATGATTATGCTGCTGCTGCTGGTGATGATGATGATGATGATGATGATGATGCTAAGATGTGCGTGTGTGTGGTGTGTAGGCGGTCATGCGTGGGTTGCCCAGAGAAGGTCAGACCCCCGAGTAGGTTGCACGGGGAAAACAATCCACCATTGGCGGCAGCATGCCCTAAACAGCTTGTGCGAGGATGAGTTGAAACGCTATGGAGAGTAGTCTAGATTCTAGAGAGTAAAGACTCGTGTAGCGAGTCTTTCAGATGGAAGTAGAACTCATACCCCAAGGAAGACCGTAAAGGATACCATACGGAAAACCATAGATAGCATCCTTAAGATAGGCCGTACGGGAGGCCAACATGGAGACCATACAGGAGATTGGACACGGGAGATTTCACGGGAGACCATACGGGAAACCATGCGGGAGACCATGCGGGAGACCTCACGGGATAATTTAAGGGAGACCATGATGCAGACCATGATGATGCACGACGAATGCATCCCTTTCCGACATGTACACACCAACCCAGCTTGCTGGTTCCAGCGGTCGTTCCTCACCCAAGTTCGATCCATGGCTCGTCAACAACCGTATGGTGTTCTTGGCATACCCGGTGATGCAGTTCACCTCCAAGCTAAATTTTATAAACAACTGCATTTTCATCACTGGTCCGGTGACTCCCCCTTGGACGACATTTACACGCGCCTTCACAACTGGCTCCCACAGACCACTCCTGGCATGGTCACTACTCTGGTACAACAGGTCAAGGCTGTCATTGCGAAATCGTCGCCGCACGTTGGGTTTGCTGTGCTTCGTGTTTGCTGTCGTGGAGTTTGCACTGCTGCTTGGTTTCACGATGTCCCGAAGTCATGCATCTTTCGGTGCCAATCCTGCCACGACCAAGAGAACATCAACAGGGGGGCGGTGGATGACATGGTGCACTACAAACATTGCGATGGATTCCGTCAGCTCATTCTTCGTTGGCTGGGTGATGACCTTCCTCTGGTTTACTATCACAAGGATCTTACCTGGATGCTTTCTTTGCTCCCCCTTCGTCCCCTCCCCCCCAGAATGTGCTTGCTTAGTGCTTGCCTCTGCGACGCCTTTGTGTATGCACACTATAATGCTAGGGTAGGGGGTGCTGGCACTGTTGCGCAGTCTTTCCACGCCAGGATTCGACTGCTTAGTCGGCGGTACCCTAGAGTTGCATCAGCTTTGAAGGACACATAGACCAACAACAACAACCATCGCCAGCGTGTGGAGACAAAATTGTGTACAGCTTTGCTTGCGCTGCGAAGGAAAAAAATGATGCAGACCATGATGGGAGACCATACGGGAGAGCGAAAGGGACACCATACGGCAGACCATACCAAAGTCAGCACGGGAGACCACGACCCATCGATTCCAGGTCCGTTGAGCTTCACACCCCGCGTAATAAGCAGTTCATGGAACCTTTGCGTACAAGCGGTGTAAGGAGCACGGGAGACATTTGCTGATCAATGTCTCTTGCTTCCCGGGCTGCGTCTTGGGGCAGCCGTGGGCCTCGTGGCGCCATCTTCGGCCACCTCAGGCGGTCGAGGTCGCCTTCGTTGCCCCTCGTGGCTGTCATGTAGTCCTCTTGCCCTTCCTGGCCATGGTGCAATTCTGGGGCAACCTGGAACGCCCGAGGCTCTAAGTGATGTCCCCTAGTGGCGTTATTTTGCGCCGTTCCCCCCCCCTCCCCTCCCCAATTTTCCGTCGACATTTGGCAAAGGATCAGCATTTGAGACACAAGAGAGGAGGGAACAGACAAAGCAAAGAAAGAACGACATCAGTCCACCAGGAGGCCTTCACGGCCTTGCTCGCCCCCGCGGGGCTCGGCGGATACACAGACCGATCAGGGCTTCAGGCAAACTGCCAGGGTTGGCGCGGGTTGGGAATGTTTCAGGAAGATCTTTTTCGATGCGCAGGCGCTGGTGAGCATGCGGACCAACAAGTGCCTGGAGTACAACACGGGCAACGGCAACGTGTACATGCATCATTGTCATGGCGGTCTCAGTCAGCAGTGGTACTTCGATGGGGAGCAGCTGAAGACGAAATATGACAACAAGTGCCTTGACTACGCCTACGACGATCCAGGCAAGGGCCTCTACATGAAGCCCTGCCATGGCGGTAGCAACCAGAAGTGGTACTTCTCGTGAGGCGTTGTTAGCATGGCCAGCCTTCTGCTCTGGGCTGAGCTCCAGGAGCGCTCACAGACATTGGCTCTGATGGACCATGGGGCTTGGCACTGGCATCAAGAATGGGTACGTACACATCCGTCGTTAGCTCGCCGCGCAATGTTCGTTTGATTCGTCATGCGTCCCCAGGCCGGCTACGGATAGTCCTAATGTGCTGGTGAGGGTCAGGGTGTGTTTTGACAGCTCGGCGTATCGAGACCTGACGGCAATCAGTGACCCGCGGCGGGCGATCTTCGAGATTGCAGATGTGCTCTCTCAGAAAG